TTCCCTACAGGCGAAAGTAGTTTAAACCTCTCCAGTTGTAACAGAAATAAAATTACTTTTGGGGGTATTCTGACAATGATTCTCAGTTTGCTGTGGTCAGAAGCCTCTTTTTTCTAAACTTTAGAGCAGTGGTTCCCAAACTTTTTGGCATCACCCCCCCTTTTTGATTTTTGAAAAACCCTCATTGCCCCCCCCCTCCGAAAATAGTAGCAAAACTTGTTGAGCAAAAAAAAAAGGAAAAAGAAACTGAACAAGGCAAAACTTGATGGGTGGGGGGAAGGCTGGGTTGCCTTGTGCCTCCCCTGGAATTTCTTCATGCCGTGGCTCCCCCACCCCAGTTTGGAGCCCATGCTTTAGAGGATGGGCTATAGTACTTTTAGCATTTTTGCTGTGGTTTGGTCTTCTTCTACCACTTTATTTTTACCTTCTTGATTTCAGCCTGTATCTTGAGTGTCAAGTTACTTTCCTTGAAATGGTCTCGAAGTTGTAATGCAGGACGTGTTTAAAGCTCTATGCGGGCAAGAGGGGTTCTGTTGACTGTTGGGACAAAAAGCAGTTGACTTATGCTAGAACTGTATGTGACTCGGTGGAGGTTCTGTCTGTCATTTTGGTGAGCTGCCTAATACCAGACTTGCATATGATGCAGACTTGTGAGAGACACATACAGTGTCCCAAAGAGGCAAATGTTGCTCTGGCTGGAGACCATAGATTGAATTTAAGATCCCTGGAATCTTGTTGCGAGAGGCGATTTTATGAGTGGAAGAAGGAAGATGATGTGATGTCTGTGTCTAGTGATTAATTTTCTGTTGATAAGGCCAGTGAGACTGACTGTGCAGTATAGTTACCATCCGACTGCTTTATAAGAGAGAGTGGAGATTCATGTATGCTGCTGATTCAGCAGAATCTAGTAGAGATAATGTATTCCAAATGAGTGACCCCTTATAGACCTACTTACAAATCATTCTTCAAAAGGAAAGATTTTAATTAGGGTCTGGTTTGAAGTTGATTTGATTTTCTTTCACTTCTTGGATCTGGGGTTCTGTTAGGATCCCATTAGTGGAACATGGTGTTTAATAAATATGGAAACTGAACAACCCCTTTGATCCCAGAAGGGTAAGATCCCTTCAGAAGAAGGTAGAACAGTGTGTCTTGTATCCGTATGGTTGAATTTTCTGAGATACAGTAAAGGGGTGATCTTTTTGGCTTGTGGTCCACTGATTGAATCATTTTCCAGAAGCCTAAACTTGCAAATTAATTTGCCAGAT